GCCCTGCCATTAGGCAGATTGTAGCTGCTGATCTTTGGAGAGCAAAGTGATAGTTATTTTATGTATTGTTTTTGAATTGTTACTACTATTGTTGTTGCTGTTGTTTAGTCGGTTAGTCATGTCCGACTCTTCGTGACCCCATGGACCAGAGTACGCCAGGCACTTCTGTCTTCCACTGCCTCCCGCAGTTTGGTCAAACTCATGCTGGTAGCTTCGAGAACACTGTCCAGCCATCTCATCCTCTGTCGTCCCCTTCTCCTCGTGCCCTTCATCTTTCCCAACATCAGGGTCTTTTCCAGAGAGTCTTCTCTTCTTATGAGGTGGCCAAAGTATTGGAGCCTCAGCTTCACGATCTGTCCTTCCAGTGAGCACTCAGGGCTGATTTCCTTCAGAATGGAGAGGTTTGATCTTCTTGCAGTCCATGGGACTCTCAAGAGTCTCCTCCAGCACCATAATTCAAAAGCATCAATTCTTCGGCAATCAGCCTTCTTTATGGTCCAGCTCTCACTTCCATACATCACTACTGGAAAAACCATAGCTTTAACTATACGGACCTTTGTTGGCAAGGTGATGTCTCTGCTTTTTAATAGGTACGGTGAAAGGAGAAGTGCTTGTCTGTTTTTTTCTGGATAGCTTTGTGTACTGTGTGTTTTTTTTACTTTGGGTAGGAACAGCACCTCCACCCTGATTAATGGCTTCTTAATTGTTCTTAAAATGTTATTTAATTCAAGTGTATAACTATGTAGAAGGGGACCTCTTACAAAGAAAGTGAAGAGTGATGTGCACACACACACACACACACACACACACACACGTGTGCATGTGGCAATTTGTGCTGAATTGTAGTTTGCAGTAATTGTCGTCTTCCCCTTAAGTATGGAGCCATGTTTGCAATTTCTCACAGTATCTATCATTTAAAGCCATTTAGGTAATAACATTCAGGCACGCCTTTCTACTGTCTTGTTTTATGCCATTTGTCTGCTGGTTCTTCGGAATGTGGTACCTTTTTCTGTTTTGGTACAGTAAATGCACTCTGTAATATCTATTATGGCATGGTCAAAGGATAATTTATTGTCAAATAGAAAAAAATAGGTCAACCCTAATGTCACTTGATGATCAAACCCCCCCAAGTTTAATAAAACATCTCACCAGCATGCATCCTGCACAGCGGTTGATATTTTATTACAACTGCAGTACCTGGGCTATAGCAGTGGTGTAATTACTGAGCTGTCAGAGTGATAAGTGGGATTAATGGCAGCCTGATGCACTTTAGTCTGCAGAGTGCTCTGAGAATTGGAAGATGGTGTTGTTATAAGCGTCTGTCTATACTGGCATATTCACAGCACTCTCTCCCTACCCAGTGCCACAAATTCGGGCTCACATTGCTCTGCCTCATTAGCATCTGACATTTTCAACAGCTGTTACTTGCGAGACAGTTACTGTTATTGTTATTATCGCCCCAATAATAATAATGCAAATAAATATCTATTATTGACGGAAGATGCATAACGATGCTACACAATACAGTGGTACCTCGGGTTAAGTGCTTAATTCGTTCCGGAGGTCCGTTCCTAACCTGAAACTGCTCTTAACCTGAAGCACCACTTTAGCTAATGGGGCCTCCCGCTGCTGCCACGCTGCCGGAGCACGATTTCTGTTCTCATCCTGAAGCAAAGTTCTTAACCTGAAGCACTATTTCTGGGTTAGCAGAGTGTGTAACCTGAAGCGTATGTAACCTGAAGTGTATGTAACCCGAGGTACCACTGTAATCTATTGCTAAGATGGCTTCCTAGGCAGTTTTTTCAGATGTTCTCTTTGCAGGTTTAAAGTTAGACGGGTGAGACTCATTACCAGTTGTGGTGTTTGTGGAGCACTGTCCCCCAAGGTGTCATATTTAAAACAGGTGATAGTTTATTTAAAATCTGCTTTCCTAGAAGATCTTCAAAACAAGAGCCCACACAATTAATATTTTCTCATACGCAGCATCTCTAAAATTGAATTTTTGTGTATTTTATTTAAAGCTTAGACCTACATCTAAGCCTTTCCTTCCTTTGATCACTGTGGTTGCTCTAGACCTGCTGAAATGTGCTCTGAAGCAGTCTCTTTTTATTGTTGGTCTAACATTGTCAAATAAAAAAACCCCAAACCACCCTGTATGGACTAAACACTCTTCCTCCCACGTGTGGTCCAAACTTACTATCTCATACCAACCACAGGTTTATTGTTTCAACATAATACAATATTCTGCTTGCCAGGAATTGCAGGGCTCCCCATAAGTGTGAGGCATTGAAATGGGATGATGCGCTGTAGAAACAGCAATAATCTTGAAGGTTTTATATAATGCATGTCAAGTACTCAGAGTGCTTTACCTGCATTAGTGCTACAATTCTTGCAACAGGCAAGGCAGGGCGGTATTACTGCTCCTGTTTTGCTGATCCAGAATGAAGTGGTTTCTTCCAATTTAAGATATCATTTGGCATTGGATTAAGCATGCAGGATCTTATAGGGCCCTGTCCGTAGCCTTCCTGGAGGCTGGTGAAATGTTTCTAGAATGAGGAAGCTGGCATAAAGGAATTGGTGCCTGTGGTGTACATACTCATGCTATGATCATTTCTGCATTCAGGTATTCTAGTTTTTCTCAAACCTGTTTGGCTGAGAGACAGCAGTGGGCAGAAGAAAGCAATATGTCAACTGCGAACTAGCTGTGATGCCTCTGTCAAAGTTTGGCCCTGGAGCTGAACATGCCTGAAAACTATCTCCAGTCTTGGCTTGTAACCAACGTACAGTGGTCCCTCGCAAGACGAAATTAATTCGTTCCGCGAGTTTTTTCGTCTTGCGATTTTTTTCGTCTTGCGAAGCACGGTGTCGGGAAAGTTTTGGAAAAGCTTCAAAAATCACCAAAGTCTTCAAAAACATCAAAAAAGGCTACCACACCATGTGCTATGAGTTGCTCCTCGAAGTCAAGTCGCAACTGTATTAACTGTGTTAAGAAAAAGGAAACAAACTTGCAAGACGTTTCCGTCTTGTGAAGCAAGCCCATAGGGAAAATCGTCTTGCGAAGCAACTCAAAAAACCAAAAACCCTTTCGTCTTGCGAGTTTTCCGTCTTGTGAGGCATTCGTCTTGCGAGGTACCACTGTAGTGCTAAGTAACTGTTCCATAAGCACAAGAATTTCCACTTGCACAGCGGGAGCTTATCTCCTCCACACACACCCCATGTGCCCCCTAAATCTGTTCTAGGGGTTCCACCAACTCTCTGGGGAAGATTTGGGGAGTGTCTAGGACATGCATGGGGAAGGGAAAAGGGGGCAATCCCATTGTACATGTGGAAATCTTTGAGCTGATGGGGCAAGGGAGTTACATCCTTTTCGCTTTTCTATTTCCCACGTGCTTGCAGTTCTTGTGCTTAATTGCTCTCATGAATTACAGTGGTACCTCGGGTTAAGAGCTTAATTCATTCTGGAGGTCTGTTCTTAACCTGAAACTGTTCTTAACCTGAAGCACCACTTTAGCTAATGGGGCCTCCCACTGCCACCACGCTGCCACTGCACAATTTCTGTTCTCATCCAGAAGCAAAGTTCTTAACCCGAGGTAATATTTCTGGGTTAGCAGAGTCTGTAACCTGAAGCGTATGTAACCCGAGGTACCACTGTAGTCCACACACACTAAGTACTTTACCTAGTACAGGGGTCAGCAAACTTTTTCAGTAGGTGGCTGGCCCACTGTCCCTCAGACCTTGTGGGGGGCCGGACTATATTTTTTGGGGGAAAGGATGAACAAATTCCTATGCCCCACAAATAACCCAAAGATGCATTTTAAATAAAAGCACACATTGTACTCATGTAAAAACACCAGGCAGACCCCACAAATAACCCAGAGATGCATTTTAAATAAAAGGACACATTCTACTCATGTAAAAGCATGCTGATTCCCGGACCATCTGTGGGCCGGATTTAGAAGGTGATTGGGCTGGATCTGGCCCCGGGCCTTAGTTTGCCTACCCATGACCTAGTTGGACTTTGCTGAGGCATAACACTAAATCAAGTGCACGAACCTGCTCCCTTCGCTTCCTTCAGCCTGGTTGTGAGGAGATCAGAGGCATCCCCTTCCATTTTGAACTCACTTTGTTTATAGTTGCATTCAAACCAGAACTCTGGTTAGTTTTGAATCTGGCTTATCTCAATAGGTCACAATATTGAAGCTGACTTGTTTGAACAAACCACGGTTAAAATTAACCACAGTCCTGGCTTAGACGCAATGGTAAACCATGGTTAGCTGAAAATGGAAGGAAGTGCTTCTTATGGCCATACCAGAGAAGAAAATGAAGGAGAAGTGCATGGACCCAAGGCTCAGTCATGTAGTTCAGTGTTATGGCTGACCCCAGCCTAAATGATCTGATTTTAGTCACTCTTTCAGCTTTTTAAACCTTTGTCGGTCATTGATTCATCCTGTTGGATGTAGGATAATAAATTCATGAATATTTGTGAAAACCTGCTCAGTAGGAAAGCTAGAATTTAATTCATTATTTGTCATTCAGCATAGTCTTTGAGCACTGAGCATTACATTTGCCTATAACCTCAGAGAGAACATTAGAAGACTGTGAAGGGAGGTGGAGAGAGGATGTAATAGCTACTGATTCAGGGAACAGCTCCTGTTCCTTTTGCCCTTAGAAATAAAAGCTCTGGAGAAGACGACTATGTTGTCGCACAATTCTAAGCACGACACACTCACTCGCAAAAGAGTTGTCTTTTATGAGTGGCTTCCTTCTGACTTTGGTGGCCTGAGTGATCTGCTGGTGGTTGCCTTGGTTTGCCTGTCTGTGGCATGGGAATAATGACACTTCTCCCAGGAACATTCTTTAGTTGTTGCCCAAACGGTGAAGCATTATTAATTTTTAGATTGATTAGCTTCTGTCAGGTACAAGGGAGGGAGGGGGGAATGTATGCTGTTGGCAGCGTTCTGTGCTGTAAGTCGCTTTAACTCATTTACTTTCTTCCCCAGGTGCTTAAAGTGTGCAGATGCCCCCTGTCAGAAGAGCTGCCCAACTAATCTAGACATCAAGTCATTTATCACAAGTATTGCAAACAAGGTAAGAAGAAGAAAAAAGAGGAAGAGGCTTGTTCACCAAGAAAATGAAAGCCAAAACCTGCCGTCACTGCATTTCTTTTTGTATGATTGAATTACAGCCCTTATCTTTGTATGTAGCTTAATGAAATAATGTTTAGAAGCAGCTATTATAAAATTTAGCAGTCTTTTCTTAATTGCATAATTATTCTTGCTACTTTCCTGTGGAGATATTGTGCAATAAGTGTATAGCCAGTGTATGTGTTCAGTCTGCCTTTTCAAGTAATTATATATCTTTTTCTTTGCATAAAACTGTTGGCTTTGGATGGACCTTCTTAATTGATACTATTAATTAATTTTTTTAAAAAAAGCAAATAAGCAGTTTGTGGCGTAAGATTCACTACAGAAGTTTACTAGGCCTCTGCAGCTTTATTTTATTTTATTTCTCTTAAGAAGATAATGTCCTGTCCTCAGAGAGCTTCCCTAATGTAAAATAAGCTAAATGGTTTGTGGAACCCATGCCAGAATGATGTGCTGGAGGAGGAGAGCCGAGATTTTTTTCTAGTTTCGTTTTTAGTTTACTTGAGAGAGATTTATTTTTTTAAAGCACCTTGAATGAAACCTTGAAGTTCAGGGCCTTTTATGAGGACAGTGGCAATGCAGTTTTTTTTGTTTTTGTTTTGTTCCAAAAGATTCCTTCAACTAAAACTTGTTTTCCTTGTTTAATGGCAAAACCTAGTTATGAGAGTGCTAATAAGTATCACCTACTTCAGTTAATAGAATGGAATGGAACTAACAAAAGAAAACGTTGAAAGGCACTCAGTTTCAGCCTTGACTGTGGGATGTGTGAGTGTGTGTTGCAAATCAAAAACCAAACCTTCTGAACCTTTTCAGGCAAATAATTCGTGCTTTTGATTTTTACGCTGGGTCAGACTAGAACTGAGTATTGGGTTTCCTCCTCCCTTAATAATAATCAGTATTATTTGTCTAGCATTAGCTGTCTAGAGCAAGGGTTGTCAACCTGGTCCTTACTGCCCACTAGGGGCCGTTTCAGGATTCTAGTTGGGTGGTAGGGGTTTCTACGGCGGCACAAGCTGAATCCGCCTTCCATCGAGCAGCGGTGGGCGGTAAGGAAATTTTACCGTCAAGAAACATGCATTAGTGGGTGGTAGGTATAAAAAGGTTGACTACCCCTGGTCTAGAAGGTGATCTTCAGAAACCTTGAATCATTTAGTCTTTTCTCTAATAAGCATGTGCATTGGTGGTGAGTTTCTGCTGCCATTCTGGCAGCCTTGTAACGTTGTAGTTGTTGTTTAGTCGTTTAGTCATGTCCGACTCTTCGTGACCCCATTGACCAGAGCAGGCTAGGCATTCCTGTCTTCAACTGCCTCCCGCAGTTTGGTCAAACTCATGCTGCTAGCTTCTATAACACTGTCCAACCATCTCGTCCTCTGTCGTCCCCTTCTCTTTGTGCCCTCAATCTTTCCCAACATCAGGGTCTTTTCCAGGGAGTCTTCTCTTCTCATGAAGAGTATTGGAGCCTCAGCTTCAGGATTTGTCCTTCCAGTGAGCACTCAGGGCTGATTTCCTTAAGAATGGATAGGTTTGATCTTCTTGCAGTCCATGGGACTCTCATGAGTCTCCTCCAGCACCATAATTCAAAAGCATCAATTCTTAGAAAGGTCTAATATGGGACCACAATTAGTTCTCACGTCAGGAGGTGCCAAAGCCCAGTGGTATTAGCTCTCCTTGTGGCTCATGCGCAGAGGCGCCAGCTGCTCCAGGGGATCAGGGGTGCGCGCAATGCAATGTTGCATGATGTCCTGACATCAGACACACGACGTCCTCTGAATATTGAGAGGGCCCAGCCCCTTCAAAAAATATATTAGGGGGCTCAAAACTGTCTCGGCCCCTAGGGGTCAGTGCCTCTGCTCATGTATGAATAGGACTTTTAAGTATGTGAAGTCAGAGCGAATTTACATGTGAACTATGATAAAGTTTATTGCTTCAGATTACGAGGGGGCTCTAAATACAACCTTTTAAACTCAATTTCAAGTGTCACTCATTGGTTTAGAAAAGAAAGGAAGCAAGGGAAACACTCTAAAATAGACACTGAATCTCTCTTCACATATGCCAAGTAGGAAATCATAAGATATTTTTGTTTAAAGTATTTCATATGCACATAGAGTTTGCAAAAAATATCTATGTTTCCATTTGATAGTTTTTAGTTGCATCTTGCCTAGATATGCAGATATACAAGTTAGTTATTTCTATTTTCATGGTCCTTTCTTTTAGAATAATGCACATTTTCTTGTGTGTCTCTTTGTTCTGCTACGGGCCTCTTAAAATTGATGTAGTTTAGGGCCTCAGTATGGCTTAATCGAGCCCTGAATTCATTGTCCAAAGGTGTATATCAGAGACAGAGAAGGCATACTCAGATTCCTGCTACATACCATCCCTTTCTGTCCATGCTCTCTCACTAACTGGGAAGCTGTGTGACTCTCAGGTTTTCATTGAAGGAGCTTTCATTATTGCAAGTTCTTTGGACGGTGGAGTATAGCAAATGCATTCTTTTGTCAGGTATTTAAGGGGCTTTATTGTATATTGTGTGTTTTGTTGGGAAACTACTGTAGCAATCATAAAAGGTCAGGGATTCTTGTTCTCTCAAGCCTGGGGCATTTTAGATATTTGCAGGTCTTGCACAATGTGGTCTCTTCTACATTTCATTGCCTGTAGACCTCAACTTGGCAAGAAAGGGGTTGGGGGGGTGCCTTTCTGGGTTGAGAGGGTAATTGAATTGCCAGGTGCAATGAGCCTTGAGCCTCCTTGAGGAAAAGGATGTCACTGGCTTTGGCGACATTGTGCTAGGTTTCCACATTTCTGCAAAGCCTAGGCCAGAACTTCCTTTCGTTACTTCTCATACAATGGGATTACACAGCCCTGCTTTCCAAAGCATGCAGACTATTCTGCCGGGTCCTTTATAGTCAAGATTCGCCATAATGCGCAAACAGCCTATTTCTGTTGCGTTCGCTCAATAGGTGACAGACAACTTTGAGGTTCCCCGTACTGCGAATGCTTGTTTGGGAGAGGGAGGGAGAAGCAACAAGCAGGCATTTTGTCACTACATAGCCTGCTACAGAAGATCAGACGTGTAAAGAAATGATTTTGCTGAGAAGCTTGAAGGTATCATAATTTATTCATGCTTTCACTGGAGACAAGCCGTGTTAAAAAGCAAATGTTTGCTCAGCATAAGAGCGGAAGGAACCAAGTGAGAATATGGGTGCCGTGCTCTGGTTTATTTCCCAGACATGTCAGTGGGGCCCATCCTTCATGTGCTGTAGCCCAAATATCCTGAGGTCAGTGGCATGCGGTCAATGTACTATGGGAATTGGCTAGTCCCCTCAAGGGTCCAAGAGCACTGTCGCCACCTCTCTAAAACCCACTCGGCTTTGGAAAGGAGGCAGCAGGGCTTTATAATAATTTAATAATAATAATTTATTATTTATACCCCGCCCATCTGGCTGGGTTTCCCCAGCCACTCTAGGTGGCTTCCAACTGAATATTAAAAACAATACAGCATCAGATATTAAGAACTTCCCTAAACAGGGCTGCCTTCAGATGTCTTTTAAAGATAGGATAGCTGGTTATTTCCTTCACATCTGAAGGGAGGGTGTTCCACAGGGCGGGCGCCACTACCGGGAAGGCCCTCTGCCTGGTTCCCTGTAACCTCACTTCTCGCAGTGAGGGAACTGCCAGAAGGCCCTCGGCGCTGGACCTCAGTTTCCGGGATGGATAATGGCACCTCCTTCCCAGAGCTCAGGAAGCTTCTGCCAGGCTTAGGGATGGCAGTGCGAGGCTCACATGTGCGATGTCGGGACCCCGCTCAATCAGCCTTGCAAGATGGCACCTCTGGTCCTAACTGTTCTGCTACAAAATAATAATAATAATAATCACTGCACAGCACTGCATGAGGGGTGTTACGTGTGTGAGAAAACCAAGTGGAGAGAGTGAGGAAGTGGAAAGGAAACAGAAAGGGCTGGGACAGGAAGTCAGGGAGATGGAATTGCCCCTGCTCTCACCACCAGTTCTCTACAGCAGGCTGTGAGCCCACAACAGAAGTCAGTCATCAGAAGGAAGCACACTTTCCCTCCTCCTTTGCCCCCTTAGATTGATTGATTGAGCTGTCTTAGGGATCCATTGGATCCCAAGTCAGACCCACTGCTGTTGTTGTTCCAGGTCCAGGCTGGTACAATGATTGGCCTGCCCTCTACTTTCTGCACTTGGCCAACAAGAGTGGCTTAGGCACAGTTGCAGCTGAGGGATCCTTGCTCCTCAACCAGGGTTTGAATTCTTCTGTGAGTCTCATTGGTTTCAGTGCAGCTTATTGCGTGGCGAGTTCCCGCCTCCCCCCAGTGGTAAATAACGACACAGAACACCATAAATAAGGTTAATGGGCTAAAATTGGCCACAACTTTATTGGTTACAGGTAAGAGCGGTATTGGCTTAGGCATAACAATATGCCGAACCGCCAAAACCAGGGAAGTTGTGATGATTTGCTATGAGGTAGGCGAAAACCAAATGGCCGGTGCCAATTTGCCAAGTGGAAAAAATTCCTACCAGGCCCCTTAATGGCGACCAACTGAGGTCCATAGCAAGGAAACCTTGAAGGGTGGGCGTGTGGGAAAAGCAGTCAGTTGAGCAGTCCGAAAGAGGGCGATCCTGGGCCGTGCTTGCCTTAAATGGGGCAAGCCACACACCCTGAGCCAGCCGATTGGCTGGCTCAGGGGATGATGCAGCCCGAGTATTCTCCCAGATTGTGCGGGGCTGCAATCCAGCCACCGCGCATGTGTTGGGGACATGAGCCCGCAATGCCACCTCCTCCTGAGGTCGGAAGTGGCTCTCTCAGATGAATGTGTATAGGATTGCAGATTAAGTCTTCCTAACACCTGCACACCATCCTAAGGCTTACAAACTGTGCAGTTTGGGGCTCTAGCATTATACCCATCTTCTCCTCTCCTTTCCTCT